TGATTATGTACGTAAAGTTTTATGGTTCAAAGCGGCTAGACGTGATGTTCCTAAATCAAGATCAATGTTTTTTTGTTGCGAGGATCATTTTAATGAAAGTACGAATAAAAAGCTAATGATGAGGCAGACAGAATATTCCTTCGATCGTACTTTGTGTTCTGGGCAAATTCTACCTTGAATAGTGCACAAAGAACCCTCGCGTTTCATATTGTTATCGTGATGCCCAAAATACAAATTTAAGAGCTCATTTTACTTTTAAAGCAGCCATGTGTATAAGTTAGGTTACGGTGAATAAGTGAAATTCCATATATTATTTACCTAATTTAAACCAATACAGACAGATTAGTATATTAAGGAGAGAGTAACTAATAATAAATTTACGGATTTTTATTTACGCTGCTGCTTTGATTGATTTGATTGACCATTAAATTCGGCTGAATTAAAGCGTTCGTCGTTTTTTAAAAATTCGGTAACCATAAAAATATGTACTCAAGGTAAATTGTTTGTTGACGCTTTAAGGAATCCTTCTGAAGCCATTTTTTAGTTTAACACAAACTATAAGTTATTTAAATCCACAAAATAATTATTGAAACAATATGACCAGAGACGTCACAACCAATAGGATTTTTGATACAATGAAAAAAACCCTATTGAAAAAACCGAATTATTCTTTCCATCTTCTTTATACGTGACTAAAACTGAGCATAATTTATAAGCCTTCTTGGGTACAATATCGAACTATTCATATGAATTACATTTTTTACTTAACAACTTTTTTGTCTGCTATACGCGATTGCAACTAAGTTCATGTTTACAGTAAATTACACATTATTCATAAATATTTTAATAGATTCAATAATTTCCGTCTAAAAATTGATGTTTGTTCGCCACATTCTACACAAGCTAGTTGATTGTCGTTGTTCACGTCTATTATTGGCTGTTTTGGATCTTCGGTATTACCAATTTCCTCGCTAGTTGGTCTGTTACTTGAACCGCCTCTTGCCATTCTTTAAAAGTTAAATTTTGTGGCTTCGAGCATTTTATTTAATACTACAACCAATTCTAAATGCCAGGCCAATTACCGTTTAAACAATGTATGTGAAGGCAAAATATCATGCGTACATTGTCTAAATAGGGCATAAAAGCAGTTAAAAAGTGATTAAACTACTTATTTATATTAATATTAATTATTGATTCTCCTCTTTTTTAGCCTCAATTGCGCAAATACTATGAGGATTTTTATTCTGAAAGGAGCATTGAGGTAACCACTTGGAAAGCCACCACGAGAATATTATAAATTCAATAAGGAACTTGAAACTTATTTTCTTCTAAATAATACAATATTCGCTATATCAGTTATCTCTTGCCAAAAAAATCGAAACCTTATCTATTCAATTTATGATTTCGCAAGGCTTTTATGTATGTATCTCTGGCATTACGCAAAATTCTTTTATTTCTCCTTAAGTTTGGTTGAAATTTCGTCAATATTGGTTTCAATGCCTTTCTTTTTCTCTCAAAACTGAAAGGAAAACGTTTGAAAATCGGGCATTTTTATTTTAAACTGCGTGCATTTGAAAACAAATTCCAGCAATTGAAATTTTTCATTGGTTTAACGATCCAACATTGTTGTTAGTCTTTGAAATAATTGCTTCTCGAAATCGTAATCCTACATACTTATTTTCTTCTAACTAATACAATATTCGCTATATCAATTATTTCTTGCCAAAAAAATCGAAACTTTATCTATTCAATTTATGATTTCGCAAGGCTTTTATGTATGTATCTCTGGCATTACGCAAAATTCTTTTATTTCTCCTTAAGTTTGGCTGAACTTTCGTCAATATTGGTTTCAATGCCTTTCTTTTTCTCTCAAAACTGAAGGGAAAACGTTTGAAAATCGGGCATTTTTATTTTAAACTGCGTGCATTTGAAAACAAATTCCAGCAATTAAAATTTTTCATTGGTTTAACGATCCAACATTGTTGTTAGTCTCTGAAATAATTGCTTCTCGAAATCGTAATCCTACATACTATTGCAACATGTGGGTGGTTCGAAGTTAATAAAACCTGTTATTTTCGGTATTTATGGTTTTAGAATTCAATAGCGATATATCAATGAATAGATGCTTTCCAAAGGTGAATTTGAAGCTCAGTTGCACAATCTAACCAGGTCAGCACATTAAACGGTTAAAAGGGTTATCTTAAGATGGCAACCCGTTTCATTGTCGAGGATCGCTATCATTCTTCGAAAGTCAGTGATTAATTGCGTTTATAAACAATTTACACAAATTTTCCATTATTTCAGCTAAAACTGATTTATTGCTTTAACACTGCAAGCTGGTAGTTTTAATATTATACATGAAGATGTTTTTTAATAATTCGAATGTTTATTGCACGAACTTCGTTGCTAGTTAATCGAGTAAGCAGCAGTTCCTGCATCTATGCAAATATTTCAACGCCGGTCATAAAAGCATATGGTTTTCCCTCGCAGCAAGAACCATGAGGTTTATGAGTCAACGCAGGAAGATTTATAATCGAAAATAAGTCGAAAAGTATGGAAATTTGTCTATTTTCTAGCTATTCAACATTTGCAACTAAATCACATATATACGGCAAAATTCAGATCGCCCTAAACTCGGTACTTCGGTGGCAAAGCGGGGGCTGGTAAAGTCTTTGGGTTTTCATGGTACTGGCCATCATCAACTATTCCTCTGGCTTCATCAGCCAAATTCTGCTCTACAGCTTTCCGGATCGCTTCCGGCATGGGCGGAGCCACCGGCATATGGGAACCTTGAGGCCGGAATCCTTCCGCATCAGCAACGTAGCTCATGGACACTTTTTGACCATCCGGAGCCACGTACGCGTAAGACCCCTGAGTTCTAACTCCATCGCCTGATCACATAAAGGATAATACTCAGAACCTTCAAATTGAAAGAGAAACTCGTTCTTCATGTATGGGCCTTAACTACCTGCTTCCTGTTGGGCAATCTTGTTTCCAGTTTCAAAGGCGAACTGATAAGCTTCACCATCATTTTTCACATCCATGCTCAAGATGGGTATTTGACTGACTTGAGCTGGTTGGTAGTAGGCTGAATTGGAAAAGCCGCGTTCTTGGCGTTGAGGAAAAGCTCTCACAACACTCAGGCAGAGAGAAATGGCCATTAGCTGAAAATGGTGGCAAATTTATCCACTATAACTTAAAAAGACACAGAGCAAGCAAATTTTTCTGTCGCGACGGAACAAAAATTTAACTTTTAAAATTGACGGCTAATTTTTAGAATTTTTCGGTCTTTACAAGAATTGTCCTAAAAATTTCAACAATATTTAAGTTTCTGTTCACCTACTTGACCAAAATTTTAATACCTGGGCTGGAGATCGAAATATTTTACAAGATCTCTCTTTGGTAAATTATTGTTTTTCAAAACTAGGAAAATTGAGAATCATTGCACGTCATGAGGAATAGGAATTTGAGTACCAAGCGATTGCTTCAATTTGCCACACCTTTAAACATAGAAAAAAATAACTTCTTTAAATGAGAAATTCACGTCGCTAAACAGTCATAGTTGTCGAAAAACAACGCAAAACCTTCTCAGCGTCTGAGCGCGAAAAATCACAAAGCTATTAATAAATAAATAACTTTGTTACAAATGACGCAAAGAATCATATACAAATGTACCGTTGAAAAAAACCGTACTAAAAACACGTTGCTTAAAACACATTTTCATTGTCGCAAGTGCAAATCCAAAAGTCCAAAGCTCGCATCGTTGAATATTGATATCAGCAATTAAAATAGAATATTAAAAAATGTCACTTACTGAATAGAATTCCATCTTAGCTGAGATCCAGATCAAATCAGAGTCAATTGCAAACTAGAACATTAACGCCTAATATTACCTTTATATGTTGGACCCTCCCTGTCTTGCAGTAATAGTATTTAAACGAAAAAAACCGAAATTTCAATGATTATTGTGTCAGGAATTCCTCTTATACTGAGTGAGTAAAAATTGCGCCTTTTACCAACTTTTCGCTGGTTAGATGATTCGTTTAGCGCCGCATCTTTACATTATAGTTCCGTAAATTTACACCCGAAAACTAAATTACTTGATAGAAGTGCCTGTTTGGTTCTAGAAGAGATCGTAGTTAAAAGTAGATTTTTTACAGCTGCAACATCCTGTACCATCCATGGAGGCGTAGTGCCTTAATAAAATATCAGATGCCATTTCCACTTGGCGTGCCTTCGTTTCGTCGCGTAATGTGATTGTTTTTGCTCGAGAATTTTGCAAAGGTCGATACTAAATGGGTCGGCAATTTTCATCATGAAGATGGGAGTAGCAAATTGGTCAATTTTCAAAACGATCAGTGGTCTTCAAAAGATCATATTTTTCATTATATTTGCTAGTCTTAATGACCGCTACATCGACTTTATATTCGTCTAGTTCTTACACAATTAGTCATACATTCATGGCTATTTTATTCTGAACGCTTAATGAGGTGGGCAGTTTTCTTAACGCCAAGTTAATAAATCATTGCTTTAATGATTTTCTAAAATTACTTGGGATTTTCCAACTAAAGAGGGGTTTTCTTATCCAGTATAGTCGGTACTGTTGCGAATTCAACGTAGATGTTATTTGTATAAAAACAATGATAAATGGCTCAAAATTTAAAATTACATTAGCGAAAGATCGGCGATTGGAGCGTTTTTCATTTAGTTGTTGTTGTTGACTTTCATTAAGTTGGAACGCGAATTTTGCCATTGGAAATATTGCAAAGTGAACATGCACTTTCTGCCAAAATTTCCACAATAAACAAACTGAAATCGAACTGCCAAGCAAGAGCAGAACAACGATTCATCGAAAGGACGATCTTTGAGCAGATATGGGTTAAAAATGGAGGATAGGGCGCCAGCAGAAATAATGCCGCATGTTCAGTTAAATATTTGCAATACGACAATAACTGGTTTTAATGCATTTAAAAAAGCTAAACGTTGAGTTAATGCCTAAGAAAAAGAACTTTGGTTTATGATTCGCAAGTGAACAAAAAACGGTAAATTTTGCTTCATGCTTACATTTTCACTAGTTCTAGTTATGAATGTAAACAATGGCCCCTTTGGCAATTTGCCCCTTTAACGTGGCAGCTAATTACAGGAGTTTTCCAAATAAATCAATTTCCAATAGTATTATAGTACACCATCAATAGAACTCTTCTTCGGGACTTGCATATGCGCCCCAAATTGAACCAGATGCTTGAAAGGCTCAGGTGTGAAAACTATATAAAGAAGTTGAAAACATCAAAGTGTGTTTCATCCTTGCATGTTGCTATTATAGCGGCAAACTGTTCAAGCGGCACTGAAAATTGCATATCTTTTTCATGATCTGAACTTTGCACGCTTGACTAGAGTGGAGCTAACAGAAAATTAAAGATGCTCGCTATTCGCACGGTTCGGTGGTTTTGCGTGCAAATTGATTTCAAGGTACTCGCATATCGATTCGATTGCCAAATCCAAATTGTCGCAGATTTATGTGCACGTTAAAATTTAAAAGAGCATAACATCTTTGTTGTTGCTTTCTCAATGGGAATGGGTTTATTTGCATTTACTGGCATTTTCGGTCGCTAGCTGCAGGTCATAGTCTCATACAGAAAAAATCCTTCTGGGATATTGTACAGATTTAAAAATTTTGTATTCTTACATGGACATGCCATTTAGTAACAATTTTGGTGTCAGTAACAGGCGTCTGGAATTTATTTCTAAACAGTTTCAATGCATAATTACCGCAATGAAACGAGTTAATGATTTTTGCAGTTATAATTAGTTGCAACATTCCGTAGAATAGCTTGTCTTAAAACCTTCTGAACATTTCAGATTCAGAAATGTGCCTAATTTGGCATTATTTTTTTTGGGCGAGACTTGGAGGCTCTACTCAGGGAAAGCTGATGCGACTCGGCATTATTCCGTGAATCATCCGAAGGGAATTTTGTCCCTGATAATAATAAAATACGCATTTTTCTACGAGGATTCAAAAATCCCCACTAAAACAACTGATTAATCTGCAGTAAATCGCATTTCCCAATACTATATACCACTTTTTCTACTCACATATGAAATGAACACCAAAAGTCCCCATTAAACTGATTGATAGATTAATGTGGTTAATTGGTTTGAAGGAGAATATTTCAGAAAATTAAATTTGGCATTACTCATCAATTTGAAAGCGAATTGTGTGCGTCCTCAATTTAGCTGCGAAAAAATGCAGAATTCGAAAAAATTTTGTAATTCCAATTGCTGCAAGCAAGGCCCGAATGAAATTGCTTTTTTTTGAAGAATCTGTAATTATTGGTCTGGCTAGTTGGGCTCAGTAATTGTGTGTCCAAATTAGGAACGTCATTTGCCGGTTCAATTAATAGTAAATGTGTGCAGATGTGACTGCAGTGAAAACCTCTGTTTACCTAACTTTGCAGTGCTATAAAGAAATATTACCATGTAGAGCACAAGAAATTAATGATCTGCTGTGTGTGTTTTTATCGGTGCGAATCTACTTAAAATATTTCACAGCTATAATTGATCTACTCTCTTATAATGCTGAATTTAGCATTTAGCACGAGTTTTGCAACATTTTTAAGAGCATTTATTAGTTGGCTGGAAGCACCACAAACTCGCTTGGCAGGAGGATTGTTAGGAGGCTCTCAAACGGTTTGCTACCTTTGAATAGTCATATAATCATTAGGACATAAATTAACCATCTCCATAACATATCGACTAAAGGTTTGCTATCCAATCAAGTAATCTAGGTAAATCAGATTTGGAAACGTTATTGGAAACCAACTGAACATCGAATTTATTGATGATTTTCAGACATTTCGCCCGAGAAGTAAATTTAATTAGTGTGAGAGGTTAAAAGTTGAAGAACTAAATGCCAGCGTCGAGTCAAAACATTCAGCCTGCTTAGGTAATACCTGTAAAATTGCCATTTCCTGACCCACTACGTTACATAAAATCACATTAGTGAGCATTATGGGTTAAATGCATCTGCGACGTCCGATTACACTCAACTAATCGGCAGATTACAAATTAATTACATTTTTATTGTTGCATATGCTCGACAATGGTATGAGTTAATCAGTCTAGATCCATTTGTTGAATGTTAATTGCCAGGTTTATCTTCTTCAGTCAAATTCCAGCCATAAGATTTATAAAATAGCGTTGATTTCATATCAAGAAAATCAATTAGCTGCCCATTGATCCACTATTTACGTAAGCCATTGCGTTGAAGACCCAGACGAAGAGAGCGATTCTTCAGCCGTTATCGAGTGAGACTGCAAAATCTGTTTTTTTCCCTCTCAGTGAAGCAACAGGCGATAGTAAAAGTGTTTTGCCGACCTTAAATCATTTAAAGCCGCCATTTGGTATTTAATTACGACAAAAATGAATGCACATTGTTTGAGTGGAAAAATGCGACACAAATAGCGTTGCGCCCCGGTTGTCCCACATTATGTTGCGTTGAATTAAAAAGGTCACTTTGAGGAGGTTCCTGCAGAACTGATGTGATGTTAAAACTGACCAAATTGGCTTTTCAAATTAGTGGCTTAATAACATATAAAGTACGGCAGTGTTTCTTATCAAAGAGCTTATAGGCCTCAACGCTCTGAGCATTTATCAACTAAGCAATCGTTAATTTGCGAAATTAACAAAGTATTTGGGTGAATTTTGTATAGATGGTTTTGTCTAAAGAAGTGTTTAATTAAAAAATGAATTAGTAAAAGCAGGCTTGGACATCAACAAATTCACTTTCGGCCCTCAACCTTGCAGCTCTTTCATATACAAACACAAAGGTCTTGGATCGGTATGTGGACTCTACTTTGCAAGATGCAAAAAAAGCAAATTCATTTGATTTGAAATTACAATTTAAAAGCTGCGTTCTTCTACACTTAAAAAATCCTCAAACGCATACACCAGAGCATATTTTTGTAACTTATATTGTATAATCTTCTAAATTGAAGCACTCGCGTAACTTGCCTAATAAGTGCAAGATGAACATGTCGAAGAACCAGATTGCCTTCATGATGTAGATCTTCTGACCTTTATTACCCCATGCTGCGATATTAAATTCCGAAATAATCATACATATAATTTTTTGACCACAAGTGAGTATGTATGTTTGCAGCAGCATTAATTTGAATCGATGTTTTGCAATACAAACCATTTGCTGTATCGAACGATATTATTTATCGTTATTTATTAAATAATCTGCAAACGCCATAAAAGGAGTTATTGCTTCATAAGCTCGCTACATCTTCGATGCAGATAAGCTTTAAATGAAGCTTAACCTGCTTTAAATAATTTGAGAGGTTCATGGCCATGTCAGAGAGATAGTAAAAGTGATTATAATTATTAGTTCATGTATGTTTGAATGAGTGCGTTTACAACGGTGAGATTGTCTTTCGACTTTCAGTCAGTTGATGTATTGGATTACAGTTTACGACAAAAAGAAATTGGAACTTTTTGCATTTTTAAAGCAACAAAGATAAGCTTCATAATCAGATCAGAATACGCTATAGTATTTTTTTAGTTAGTTTCAGTTGCTTTAAGTATTTCAAGTTTTGTCAACATTTTGAAAAGAATTTAGACATTTTCCTAAAATTTCATTTCCACAAGCTTAAATCAAGTGGAACTAATCACTGTCGTCTCAATGTACCAGACTTTAGAAGATAAATATAAACGTAGAGGCATGGAGATTTTATTTACTCAATTTACTGCATGTAAGAATAACCGAGATAAACCCACTCACACGTTTGGCTATTTCATGCTTTATGTAGGGCACGAATATTATGAGATGAAAATCTTGAAGATTACACAGAGTTGCGAAATTCTAAAGTGTAATTGCTTGCCTTTAAGCCGCTTCCAATTTACATTACAATAGCCCAGTTAAGCGTATAAATAACAAAAATCGCACCACTCAAGAAAGCCTTGATAAAAGAACCAAAACAGCTACAATCGTAATTTTTTTATTGAATCTCAACTGCTTATGAAACATAAATATTATCTGAACGCAAAGTAGAGCTTCATTATAGTCAATTCCATATTTGTGTCGAAATCGCCTCCAGGAAGAGAGTCTTCGAAGAAGCGCATATTTCGCAACCGAAGAGTTTAACAATACGAGCTCATACGAAGCAGGATGCGCTAATCTAATTTTAATTATCAATTATTGTTGTGGCAGATCGGCCCCCTTCAATTGGTTAATTAATCGAAATGGTATAAGGACGCGCTTTTAAAATAATATATAAAATATATTTGTCTGATTCAACTATACGCCTTTAACACAAGGGATTAAAGAATAGTTTCATTAGCGAAAAAAATGGAACATTCACTCTGAATTGAACGGCCAGCATAGAAAGCCAAGTAATAAATAATGCTCTGAATAGTAATAATAATAATATCTCAATGTGTGTGGGTCGATTTGACGGAACACTATCAAGATTACGCAAAATGTGCTCCTAATGAAATCTTCCTTATTTAGCAAACTGTAAAAAAAATGTTCGCACGATATTTTAAAGCGTGAAGTCCATCTTCTCGTTTCGACACTATTTTATGCAACGGCTCGAAATATCAGATGCTTTTGGCTGATAAATCATTTCATGTGCCTTTTACTCACTTTTAGATCAAACGTGATGCTTAATTATGATTCGCTTATGCCAACAAGAGGACAGTGTCACATTTTCCGGGCTATTAAGCAATCTCAGCTGCAATTCATTCTTTTCACTATGAACTGATGATTCACTTTTCGCACAGAAGAATTTATTGCTGAAACATAAGGCCCATAAACTTTTTTACTAAACTTAGTTATATCCATTTATAATTTTAAGACGCATAAAACAATTGGGGTTGGGTCCGTAGATCAAACCTCATGATTCGGACTGAATCTACCTAATCTATCTAATCTTTCTACTTACTTTTATTTAAAAATTTTCGTTTTTGCTTTAACGGCACTAATCGTTTAAAACCCTCAATTACGAAAACATGGTTCAAACCAAAGCTTAACGATTTGGATAAAGAACGAAAACTCGAAAACTGCTTTCAGTCATTAGAGCTGCAGTTGACAGTGTGCATAGAGCAACTAATTGGCCAAAGAAAACTATGGAAAAAGTAATTAAAAAATGCCTTTCCGATAGATTTTGTTGAGAAGTTAAAAAAAACTGACTGGTAATCTACAGTAATTAAATACATCAGGATATCATGCATATTTGCAAGTGTCGAAGAACTTCGCAGTGTGTTTTCAAATTGATGAGTTGATTGTATTAATTGCTCACATTCATTTTGTTACTCGACTTCTTAAAACACAGTGAAAACAGAGCTGAAAAGCCCAAAAATATTAGGTTACATTAATTAAGATTGCAAAAAATGGATATGTTGAAACCTTTTCTGTTTTTACGAGGAAAATAGCAATTGTTTATCTTTTCATAATCGTGTTTCTTCGAATTCGTGTTCATCGATGACTCCCGAAGTTTACGGTTTACTAGTTTGTAAAACTTGCTTTAATGAGATTTTGTTTACTTTAGTCACAACATACGTAGCGTATCCACATACTAATAATCCCAATTAACTTTCCGGAAATTCGAATCATTTTGCCGACCTTGTAGGCTCTTCAGTTCATCATCAATAATAGTAGGAAACCCCAAATTATAAGCAAGGACCAATCATTCACGAAACGCTTTGAAATATTTAGTACATGAACAGGCCTGAGGAAGAACAAGTTAAAAGAGCAGCAACATTTGGGATTTGAAAGTTACATATTGTTCATAGAAGGATTGAAATTACCTACTGCAGCTAAAAAAAAACATTTATGAAGACAAAATGAAACACATTTTTTTGTTAAGGGGAACCATTAGATCCTAAGCCGGTTGCTTTAAATACAAAAAATCAAAATTGTGAGGTCAATATCAGCTTTTTTAGCTTGACTTGGTGGATGACTCCGAAATGCATTTTTCGGCGCTTAAAGCTCGTAAAAAATTCCTGTTTATATTTTTCGGATCCTCCTATTGTTTAAGTCGACAAATCGAGGTGGTTCGACATATTCTAATCAGTCAGTTGGAGATATTTTAAGCAAAAAAAATAAAAGAAAAGCGAAATATTTTTTTTCGCAAAAACTATGTGTGCTCCAAGATTTTGCAAAGAGCACAAAATTGTGCATAAATGATAGAGGGTATCAACAAAAAGAAAATTAGTTGGCTTCATCTACCAAATAAAAAGTTCTGGTAGCTTTTGTACCACGACACTGCAGAACTCACTACTTGTCCGAAACGGATGACCTCGATTGTTTCATCAAAATAAGAGTCTCACACAAGAACAAATTCACAGCGAGTTTTACTAAAATACATCGAACCACTCTCCCGGTATTTCAAAAAATATGTTTTTCTTAAAGAACTTTAACCATCAATAGAAGCCAGACATTTTTTGTTGATAAAAGTTAGGTCAGATCGTCTTCTTTTGATGCAAAGAATATGGCAGTATCCTTTTGATCAAGTGCTTACGGGACACCCTGTAGATCAAGTCGTTCTAACGCTTTTTGCTACTTAATTTAAATAATCTGGTACTTGTGGAGAATAAGACCGCCATCCGCTATCCCCAATTAACCCGGTTGCTATTAACTGACACCATTGTCTTTTCGGAGCAAAAATGATCTCCAATCACTGTAATTTACGCAATTTTCAGATATACAAAGTATTTAGCAGGACGTTTTGCAGAAATTGGCGATGACAGCACCTTGAACTATATAGCGAGACAACAAGATGATACTTTAAACTGTAATAAGTGTTGCGCTAATTGAAACGTTACGATTCGAAATGTCAGAAGGGATCTTGAATATTATATTAATGATTATGCTCTCGATCTGTGGGATGGTTGTATGGCAAAAAGTATCTCGCCGAGGTTAAAATGGTGATGATTTTCATCCACTTATCGCGATTGAGCAATGGAATGTGCTTATGTAACATCTATGTAGGTAAGCGGGTTTTTCCAAAGAATTTCTCAGCTCGATCAATGATATTCCCCGATCCAGATCAGTGGAGTACCCGACAAAACCTTTCCAATTAATAATTATCTTTAAGCCGTTGGAACTACACCATTAGCTTCATTGCAAGTCAATTATTATTTGCAAATTTTAACCTTTAACAACATATGTTCAGACTCAACTGTTTCAATTACAATGGGTGATATGAAAAAGTAACTGTGGGCTAACTTGCTTGATTAACCCTATAGTCACAATTAGCTGGCAAAACTTTAAAAATTTGGAAGATCCAGAGGGAATATTGACAATTTTGAAATATTTAGTGCAAAATTGCTGTGCGAAGATTTTTTAATGTCGAGATTCTAGTAGAGCTGGTAACATTTTCGCACACCAGAAACGCACCTATTAAAAGTAATTAAAAAACGAATAGTTCCATTGATTTGCAATAATCGCGAAATGGTACCACAACTCATCTTCTGTCAGCCTTGAGCTACCTCAGCTAGATGGCCACATTACCAGGGACCGCTAAAATTATACCAATTCCACTGAAATTTAAGCAGTACTCTTCCCATTGATTGTTAAATTATTAAATTTCAGTTCGTTTGTCGCTCGCAATGTCAATTTTCCTCTCAATCAAATGTGGTATGTGCAAATGATGTGAAGAATGCGTTCGGCCGCCCGCAGCCCATCAATTTTCATATCGAATCACACCGGTAGATTTGAGATGAATTATTTAGCACAAGAATTAAGATAGGAGGATCGCATTCTTTCTTTGGGATGAACCGCTTTGTCGTTCAGAGAGGGGCAGAAAATGAAATGCAAAGAAGATGCAAAAGTGCAAGGGTGTATTAATTGACCGATCAATATAAATAATTGACGGTCCCGATCAACAATCAGAGTAGCCGAAGAAGCCAAAGATGAAATTTGTAAGTACCTTCCTCAGTATGGCTTTGGTAAACATTGTATTTGTTTTCCTTGGAAAATTGCGCTACTTTTGAGATCATTTAAGTCCTTTTTATGCATACATTTTAATACCTACATCCGAGCAATTTTCTGGACTGGTCCAGACTTTCCGGAACAAACGTTAGTTTATTGAAATTTGATATTCTTTAACAATAATGCGATTTTCTAAGTAATTCGTGTGTTTATCTGAAATAAGTTGATTTCGAAATAACCGTTAAGGAACCCTTGACTTGAAAATTGTAGTCATGCTTTCTTTCTGATTCTTCTATCCGTTAAGGTTCAGAAGAAAGAACTGAAAGTAAGAACTGGGAATGAGGAACGTTTTTAAATGAGGATGAACCGACTCTAACGGAAACTTTATTAATCAATCACTTCCAGATAATATTACTTGCACTTGTGGCTGTTGCCCTCGCAGATGTCGCCTATCTTCCCCCTAGAACAGGCGGATATTCCGGCGGAGCCTACTCTGGAGGTAGCGGTATAGGCGGAGGAAGTGGCTTTGCAGGAGGAGCGCCAATACCCATTCTCAGGTAAGCTACAGCTGGATCTAATTTATTTTCAAAAATCAAACAATTGTCACAAATTTTGCGATTTTATTGCGCCTTCTTCCACAGAAGTACACTAGTTAAGTCGATTTTATAAAACATCACTACTGGAAATATCTAGTGGAAAACGTCCTACAGGCTCTAAACTACATAAGGGAGACTGCTGTAAAAGATATTGACAGAAAAGTGGGAGCACTAGTCGAAGGCATTTGAAAATTGAGCATTTATGAACAATTCTTAACCACTTGATGGACAAATAATTTTCTTGTGTGATAAAATGTCCAAGTAGTTCCACTGATCAATGTTTATTTGCACTTTTGGTTGCAAAGGAAGAACTCCATCCTTTTATAGAGCAATTAAATATAATTAACACAAAGATAGAAAGGAAGAAAAATGCCCCAGTACAGAAGAAATCGAGAACAGAACACCAACATGAATGGAAGAAAAATTAGAACCTACTGAAAAACTAGCCGAAAGGGACGTAGACATCGAACAAAATAAAAAGCGACATCCCAACAGTTACCAAAAAACTTTGCACTAATAAAAAACGAAAACATAAAAGCAAATTACGCGCCGACACAGACAGATTAATGAAAAAAGACGCAAAACCAGTAAAGATTCCAGAAAGGAGATTAGAAGAGAGATCAGTGAGATTGGAAGAGGCTTATGTCCAGCAGTGGGCAACAATTGGCTAAAGGGGAAGAAAATCACGAAGGGTTTGGTGCAATTGCAAAACTCTTTTAAAACTCCCATTTTACTTGAACTCCCACGCAAAAAAATATATATACTGCGTTCGTCGTCAATCACTTCTTAATTAATGAAGTGAGGTATCCAGAAGATCTTGTTTTTTCTTCCTACTCTATATGGATGAAAACTACCAAACTAAATCTTGAAACCTTGTTCTTAGGTATGTTAATAATAACCCTGGTGATGGTACCTACAACTGGCTGTACGAAACTGGCAACGGAATCAATGCTGATGAATCTGGAGATGCTCGAGGAGATGGCACCAAAGCCCAAGGTCAGTTCTCCTACACAGCCCCAGATGGCCAAAGAGTCAGCCTCCAATATACTGCTGATGAGAATGGATTCAGGCCCGTAGGAAGTCACATTCCCACTCCTCCTCCAATCCCAGAGGCCATCTTACGGTAGGCAGATTGCTACTTTTTCTGAGCAGCAGGGAAGTAACTGGGAATGGTTGCAGGTCGATCGAGTACAACAGAGCCCATCCTAATGACGACGGGCAATACAACCCAGGGGCAAACGAAGGAGGATTTGGAGGTGGTTATCGCTATTAGATGCCTACCAGGAAGGTGCCCAGTAAAAGAAAATACGCTCCTATATACTATTCTTTCTGTTTCTAATTGCTGTTATTTTTAAATAGTTTATTTTATTTATTGCAATTTGTAAGCGCACGGTAACAAATACCCATCACCCTTCGTAATAACAGTTATTATGAGATAAACAAACAGTGTTTGACTTCCTTATATTAAGAGTGAACCCAAACAACTCGCTGCGAGCAGCACAGAACATGCTCGGTGTATCTTAAGCGTGTTTGCTCTGCAGGATGGTTTTGGTGCAAACGGCAATTTTTGCTACATTTTAAACCCTAAGTTACAGGTTCGGTTGAAGTGGGCAAAAGTTGTCCAACTTGATTATGCCGGTTGTATTGTAAAGTTTAATTCAATTTGCTAAGGGAAAATCTCTCGGAGTAGTAAAAACTTTGGGGTTTTTTAGTTGTTTTCTTGTTGCGTGTTGCTATGCTATAAAACACAGTCAAAAACACAGTTGTATAGTAGAGTAGATTACTGAGACGGGTCTATACCATAAATAACAAACTCCAATTATCATTAAAGATTTTTTTCAAAAACAACAGGTACAATCATGCCAATGTCTTTTTACACAGTCGTTCTTATAGTTGAAATTCGTTCAGCTTTTGATCTCATATATGGCAATTGCCGGTGGTTCTACTCTTCCACACTTGGTGATGGCATAAATGGTAATTTGAACGCTTTTGGAAAGGTCCAGAGAATGCATCATGGCGCTCGTTCTGGCGCCACTCATCACCTTAGTTGCCACAGAGCCGTTCACAAAGATATCGTAGCCGATGACTTGCTCGTTTTTGGGCGCATTCCACTTCACTATCAAGCTATCGTCTGTGATCCTTCGGATGTCTATCACTTCGAACCCGGACAGATCCAGTTTCTGGCAGTCTTTTTCCGCTTTTTGCGTGACCTGCGGATTGGAACATTCACAGTCATCAGCTTTTTTCTCCGTTGCCTTTTCCCGTTTCTTTTTGTGTTTATGTGTCCTCACTTCCACTCCTTTGGAAGCAACACATCGGAGATCACACGGTGCAGTAGAACCATCTTTTACTTTGATAGGCCCGTAAAGTATGCTGGTGGCAAGCTGTGCTCTGTCCAGCGATTTTACATCTTCGGCTTGGTCATAGTCCAAGGCCATCGCTATCTTAACAGAATCATCCAAAACTTTATCGAAGACTTCAGGAGAGCCCCTTTGAGATAGTTCGCAAGTCATTGCTTCAATCATCCTATCCTTGGCCTTGCATTTCAGCTGCAAATTGTTCAAAGCCATCTTCAGTCCGGACATTGTTTGACCGAACACAGACGCTTGTTTAACAAAGGGTTTCGGACCGGCTCCTGCCATATCGAGTCCCATCGTTTGCCCCATGCTTTGGGTACTTCTAAACTCGGCCTCACTGCAGGCACATTTGATTTTCTCAAGAGTTCGCTTGATTTCTTCAATCTGCCCTTTGCATTCGCAATTTTCCTTGTTGGCCGCTTGAATGCTCTTCACCAGCGCCAAGTTATCCATATTCTTCACAGATTCTTTTATGTTTGTACCGCCCATCTTGGGGTCTGCACATGGCTGACAAGAGCACTGAGCGCAATCGCAATCGGCAGGATGCACCGGAAACATTTGCCGAATGTCCGGTTTAGGCAAAACCAGGGTGTCCGCACTCAAAAACGGATCACCATCAGTTGTACCTGCAAATTATATCGAGAATCAGTAAAAGAC